CTTATAACTGGAATTACTTGATAAAAGTTATCAAATCTCTATAAGCCTTTTTTTGTCAATTATAATAGCTGCCTCAGGCTTATTATTAGTATTAAATAAAATATTGATTTAAATAAAATAATGTAAGGCAATCAGCACGGGACTCAGGAAATGGTACATATTAGCTATCATTATGATTTTCTTTCTACTTTATCCCAAAGTCACATCCTTAATTTAGGTTACTGGAGCCCTCCTCTTCTACACATCTTTTTGTGAGCGTATTCTGTTGGGTACACACACAGGTGTAGAATTGCCAGGTCATGCTTATGTTCAACTGTAGTAGATACTGCCATTAATTTAATTTTTTTTTTTTTAAAAGATGACCGGTAAGGGGATCTTAACCCTTGATTTGGTGTTGTCAGAACCACGCTCACCCAGTGAGCTAACCGGCCATCCCTATATGGGATCCGAACCCGGGGCCTTGGTGTTATCAGCACCGCACTCTCCCGAGTGAGCCACGGGCCGGCCCCCATTAACTTAATTTTAATCAGCACTAAATTATAAATTCAGGTATATAGTAATGAAATCCCCCAAGCAGTTTTACTCATTTTCTCAAGGAAACAATCTCTGGTAATAGCGCATAAAAAATAAAGCTGGATGTTGAGTGACTATGACCTATTTGGGGCAGTGGCCATGTCTTACTTATAGTTGTATTCCAGATCCCTACCACATACTAGGTTGGGTGTTAATAGATGTATAATGGGAAGGAAAGTAGATAAAGACACAAGTGGTGACATTTGTTGAGTATCCTCTATATGCCAAGCACTGTGCAAGTTAGGTGCTTATATTTATTCATGAATTTTGGTGTTATAATCCCTGTTTACAAATAAGGAAGCCGAAGCTCTGAGTAGGTGACATAAAAAGTGAACAAAAAGAATGAATTACTGATACATGAAACACATGGATGAATCTCAAAATAATTATGCTGAATGAAAGAGGCCAGAAAAAAAAAAAAGAGAAAACATACTGTATGAGTCCATTGACATAAAATTCTAGGAAATGCAAACTAAATAAACATACTGTATGAGTCCATTGACATAAAATTCTAGGAAATGCAAACTAAATTTATAGCAACAAAAAGCAGAGGTTGCCTGGAAATGAGGGCAGTGCTGGTAAAGGTAGGAGGAATTATCGAGAGACGTGAAGAAATTTTTGGGGTGATAAGTTCATTATATTGATTGTGGTGACTGTTTCATAGGTGTACACGTTAAAAACTCATTAAGGGACAGTTCTCCATCTTGTGCTCATTCTCTCAAACATAGGTACATTTCCAAGCATCCAAGACGATGATGAGATTTCTAATCCATACATGCTATCTGGAGATGACAGGGAGGATGGCCTTCTCTCCTTCTGTCCTACTCTCCCTAGCCTTCCTGAGGACATAAGGACTTCTAGAGATAATGCACCCCCCTATGACTCTACAGGGACCCAGGTATTCTAAGTTCTTATGTTGGCCTCTGGATACCTGGACCCCTAACTCTAAGGCCATACTTATGAGGTGGAACCTAGATAACCAATGAAAATTCAAGTTAGGCCACAACTAGGCAAGCTGCCACCACCACCCAGGGGGTTCCTGAGGCATGGAACCGGGGGAAGTCCAGCCCAACCACAACCAGGTAAAGAGCACACCAAAAACACCATTTCCATGTGGGTAGTCCACCATGGGCACTGCAATTACCACGGCTGCCACAAAAGCAGCTAGTCTCTTTAGCTGCAGTCACAGCCACCACGCAGAGGCACTCGAGATTCTCAACTGCATTGACACAAGGAGAGGCACCAGTGGAGACCAGAAAAAAAGAAGAGGTCCTTTCCTCTCCCTCTTTCTCCAGAGTAACAGAAGAAGCATCTGCTTTACAATAATAGGGAGGACTTGATCACACCTGTCAGTATTGGACAGATCATCTAGGCAACAAATCAACAGAGGAACAGTTAATCTATCAGATGGAGAGAACAAATCTACAGTTGTTGGGGGAGGGGGAGAGATTGGATAAGGGGTTTAAAAAATAGGTATGACTTGTAATAATGAATATTCTAATAAAAAATAAAATAAAGCTCATTAAGTTCTACACTTGTGTAATTCACTATACTAATTTCCCTCAATAAAGTTGTTTAAAAACTAGCCACAGATTACACTGAGTATTCTAGACAAATACATTTGAAAATTTTGATGAAATGGCTAATTTCCTAGGCAAATAAAGATTAACAAAATGGACCCCCATTATAAATAGAAAGCCTAAATAGACCATTTTCATAGAAGAAGTAGAGAAAGTTACCAAGGAACTTATTCCACACAAAAAAACCCAGCCCAGAGGGTTTCATATGAGAATCCATCCTTTAATGACCAGCTAGTTCCAATGCCTCATGAATTGTTCTAGAGCATTAAAAATGAACAAAAACTTAATTCTTTTCATGATGCAAGAGTGAAACCTAACACTGAAAAATACAGTATAAAAAACAAACAAAAAACTACAGACCTATTTCACATGAATACTGAGAAAATGTACTAATAAAATACTAGTAAGTTAACCCATTAACACATTTAGAATACATCACGACTAACTGAGATTTATTCCAGGAATGCAAGGTTGGTTCAATGTTAGAAAATTCTTTTAAATAATAAAGGGAAAAAACGTGATTTCCACAGATGCTAGAAAAACCTTTTACAGAATGCAGTCCATACTTTAAAATAGTGACTATAATACCAAATGTGTCCTCCAAAAGTTCATGTATTGGTAACTTGATCCCCATTGTAACAATGTTATCAGGGTGGAAGATCCAATAATGGTATTTGATAGGTGAGGCCTTTAAGAGGTGATTAGATTGTGAGGATTGTGCCCTCATGAATGGATTGAACCATTTATAGAGTAATGAGTGTGTTCTGATTGCTTTATAAGGATAGTGAGTGAGCAGGTTAGCTCCCTCGCTCAGCCAATTCTCACCATGTGACACCATGGTCACCATGGGACCCTGTAGACAGTTCCCACCCAGAAGGCTCTCACCAAAGGTATTCTCTGGAGTTTGTACTTCCCAGCCTCTGACACTGTAAGAAACACATTTCATTCCTTTATAAATTACCCAGTTTTAAACTGTTATAAGCAACAGAAATGGACTAATACACTTACGCAAAAAATTTAGGGATGTACAGCACATACACACCAAGGATTCTGAAATATCACTGCAAAGTTTTAAAATACATGGTTCCTATATTTAGTGACCTACTCTAAAATAGATAAGCCTCATTCTCCTATGTATGGATAGAGATTGGGCTACATTACCAACTTGCTAAAGGACAGATTCTGAAGATTCTTTCCTCTTCTAGGCTGTAGGTTTTAGAACTGAAAAGATAAAAACAAGTCAAAGTAGTAGACTTCACAATGTTATATTATCTATGAGGGAAAATACCCATCATTATCTGTCAATAGGCTACATGTGAAATATCTTCTTTATAAAATATCTTTTTTCCCTCTTAAAAAAATAATCAAACCAAAGCTGGAAGAAATATATTCTCTAAAGGATACCTACATGGCTTTGCACTGGAGAACACAGAAGCAGTCCCAAATTTGTGAAAGTGCCCAGAAATTCAATGATGTGGATCTTTTTGCTACATTTACTGAAACATTACACATGTGATTTTTGTGTTCTAGAGTACCCATACAAGCCTATTAAGCCCTTGATGTGGGTTGAATTGTGTCCCCCCAAATTTTCATGTATTACAAGCTTAATCCCCAATGTGACAATGTTAAGAGGGTGGGAAATCCCATTATGGTAATTGAAAGGTGGTGGGCCTTGAAGAGGTGATTAGATTGTGAGGACCTTGACATAGTGAATGGATTAATCCATTGATGGCTCAATGGTAGCCATGGTTGTGGTTCTGATGGCATTAAAAGGGGAGCAGATGTGAAGTGTTCTCTCTCTTGCTTCTGCCACTTAGCCATGTGATACCCTGTACTGCTGTACAGTCACCATCAAGAACAAGGCCCTCATCAGATGTGTTCTCTGGCCTTTGGACTTCCCAGCCTCCCAAACTGTAAATAAAAAATATTTCATTTCTTTATAAATCACCCAGTTTCAGGTATTTTGTTATAAGCAACAGAAAAGGACTAATACAGCCCTTAAAGAAAATAAAATATTATATATTTACAACAAACAGTAGACAGTAATACTACTGTCTATATCTGTTGAATAAATTAAAGATTTATGAGACTAGAGCAGGCATGGTGGAAATAACATGTCCCTCAGCACACAGATAATCAGCTAGGAGACAGATCACAAGTCTGGGGATGCAGATAAACAGCTTATCTCAAAAGTCCTAGTTGCTTACATATACAGGCTCCTCTGAGAAGGGAAAAAGAACTTCTGACCTTTTGTTGACCTGAGACATTTATTTTATGTCTTTACTGGCTAAAATGGGCAATTTAGAATACCTATTCCCCATACAACTTGCCCATCTACATTAATTACATAAACTTTTTGGTAATGTGTAGACTGTCGTTGAGGCCTGATCTCTGTCCATACAACTTCTCACAATCCTTTTATTTATAAGAACCTTTCTAATACAGATTTGCTGGTATTTCCCAAGGTTCAACCTATGTCTAAAGACTCTTCCATACTCATCATACTGGCAGGGTTTCTCTAGTGAGAATTCTCCAATGTTAATTAAAGCTGGTGATTCCGTGGAAAGAATTTCCACATTCATCATGTTTATAAGATCTCTCTCCTGTGTAGATTCTCTGGAACACAGTCAGTCCTGACTTTGGGTGAAGATCTTCTTATATTCTTCACACAAGATTCCATAAGGTTTCCTTGCTGAATGAAGGTCTCCTCACAGTCATCATACTCATGCTGCCTCTCTCTTACGTGGATTCCTTGACGTCAAATAAGGCCATTATGGCTGAAAGCTTTCCCACGTTCCTTAAACTGATAGCATTTTTCCTTGTTGTGGATCTCCTAGTGGGAAAGAAGGGACCCACTGTAAACAAAAGCCTTACAAAACTTGTTGATCTCAAAGAGATTTTCTTCAGCGTGGACTACCTGGTGCTGATTAATGACTCACCAGTAACTAAAGCTCTTACTACACTTAACTGCACTGACGTTGCAGTTCTACAAAGACTCCCCCTACAAGATTCAGCATCTCCAGAATTTTTTTATGTTGGAGCCAAGTCTTTATTTTCATTCTTAGTTACACCGTCTAAAAAAAAATGCACAAACAATTCAAATATCAGTTGTCTCTTCTAAGATCATGAGACTATGACAAGGAACAGTGATAAAAATAAAACCCTACAATGCATGACTTTTCTAAGTCTCTAGACTGGCATCTCAATTTTGTGAAGTGCCCAAGAAGGCACGTGTGATTCCAGTTTGAGTGAGACAGCTGGGCAGAAAGAGAATGGAAAAGCATGGAAGATTTTCTCACAAAATGTGACAAAGAATCAGAAAGGTATAATAAAAAAAATTAAGATCAGTTTGAATCCAGAGCTGAGAAACAAGAAATATCATAAAACCAAGAGAGTGTTTAATTTGCTAAGGATACTTAAGAGGACTATATACACCTACTGATATGTACCTAGGTCACTACTATAGACATATGAAATGCTCAATATTTGAGTAGATCAATAAACAATGGGATATGACAGAAGTTATCTTGAAGTTACAACTAAACCAGTTTCAAAACATATACTAATTTGAAGTGAGAAAATGAAGTAAACTGGGAAATTTACTTTTCCAGGTAATGGTTAGGCCTAAAACATAAGAAGAAAGCAACACTTTGAAGTTAAAGGAGTTGAATAGGTCAAAAATCAAAAAAACCCAAAACGTGGCTGAGAGTTTCTATTTAAAGAATCAGGTAGATAACAAGAAGGAGATGGATAGAGGAAAGGTTTCAAGGGAGAGGACAGCACTAAGAGTTTTAAAAAGCTTCCCTTCTGAGGCTCTCTTCTTTCTCTTCAGAAATCCTTTTTCATCAGCTTTCCATATCAAAAGGCAATAACACTGAGAGTTAAACTAAAATAAGGTCTTAGGTTGGATATGAAACCTCTGATTCCAAGGTACTATATCTCTGCCATGAGCATATCTTTTCTATCCTTTAGCCTGGGACCCATAGGCAATAAAATGAAGTTGGTCTCGGAAAACTTAATGTAAAACTAAACACCCAAACGAACCCCGATATAGAAAGAGAATATTCCAGGGGTGCATATGAATAACAAAAGGAATTAAAGCCCGTGAGTGAGATGCTGAGTTATGGCTCCAGAGACATCTGGTGGGTGCTAAAGTTCAGTTTTGTTGTTTTTCGTGATATTCCCAAACTTTACTAGTCAAGCCGTAAGTGATCCTCCCAACCCTTACCGCCTACGGTTTGTCCTTCATTCAAGCTATCTCTTCAACTTTTTCAGCATAACCGATGCCTCCTCTCCACATTCTGGATGATATTATGTAGATGTGCAGTTCCTCAGGATGGGGTCAGGATCTGTTCCAGCACCTGCTCCTTGGTATGTATTCTGTTCTCAGCAACTGTGGGCAGAGCTCCCTGAGTCTTCCGACAGTCCTGTGAGGTCCAGGTATCTACCTCTTGGTAGTAACAACTTAAAGGTGGAAGAAAGATGTATGACTTTTTTGTCAGCCTGATTCTTGGTTCCAAGCACAACTCTCTTCCTCTACCATCAGTCACTACTAGAGATCTTTCCTGCAAGAGGACTGCCATTCTGGAATGAGAGAGCTCAGGAGAAGAGTCACTCCAGCTTGGGGTTCACAATGATTTTTCAGAAGTATTTCCTTGTAGCCAGTCTTCTTTCTGAGGTATAAAATAACAATGTTAACAGAAATTCTAAATTTTGTTTAGCTCTTTTATCTAAGAATTCACTCACCTGAACACAATGCACTAAAAAACCAAACCAAAACAAACAAAAAAATGAAACTGTCAGGAAGCTAAATAAATCAGGAGAGTAGGAGTGACTTTGCAAATTAGTAGCTAGACCCATCTGCTAGTCTCTTCCTAAATGTTAATAAAGCTTGAGAAAGACATGACCACCTTCCCTTTTGCTCTCCCCTTCAGAGACTCCCACATGAATGGTAAAGAACCTCAGAAATGAAATAATAACAGCAAGATGTTTATTTAAAAGGTACTACGAATTTAGTCATTTAAGTAGATACTGTTATAATTCCACTGACGAATGACACCTGAGGCAGAGAAATTAAGTAATTTGGTCAAAGCACATAACCAGTAAGTGGATTCTGTCTTTGTACTAAAGCGTCGACCAATCTACTCTAGAGAGAGTCACGAATCACATCATTCCGCCGAACGAACTAAACTTTACTTTTACCAAACCGGAGAGCCAGGCTTTCCTTGTCCGCAACGGCCTCACTATCCTTATACCTCAAAACTTGAAAGCCATCCTTAACTTTCCCCGGCAGCTTTCAGTCATCAGTTCTAACCTCACCTGAGTCCCTGAAGGGCCGTAACGGACCGAGTTCGAACACGGAATCCACATCTCGAGGCCACAACCACCTCCAAAGATACGCCACAAGGGCCGGAGGATCCGCAGTTCTAGGTCTCGCCGCTATCACCAGCTGCCTCAGCATTTGGGCTTCTCTAGGATTCTGGAGGTTTTCTCCTCTCTGTGGTTGCCCGGCTGTAACCTGCCCCGCTGAGCTGCGAAGATTCCTGCTGCGCAATCAAGTAACCTCCAGGTGCCTATACTGCCAGGCTGGGGCGCGTTGGGCCCCGCCGGGGGTTGGCCTTCCAGCTGCAGAATTTAGGAAAAGCCGACCCAAGGCAAACAGCGGAAACCCTGGGCTGCCGGTTACCTCTGATAACTAACGGGGCAGAGATCAAATACAAATCTCTTCTTTCCAGTCTGGGCGATATTTGTTTCCTGCCGGCCACTGCTCAGCAGTTCCCAAGGCAAGAAAGTAAAAGTAGACCGGGGTGGGAATTTTTATCCCAAGGTTACAAGGACTTTGCGGCAGTCCTGGGAAACTTGCAGCATGGTTACAGGTAATTTCTCACCTGGGGCTCGGGCATCTAGAACCAATGCATTTGAGAGAGCCCACAGTAATAATCGAAACAATAGCAAACAGTTATAAAGCACTTATGTGCTACGCACTACTCTTAAGCACCATATAATTGCGCAACTAAGTAGATACTATTATCGCCATTTTACATGAGGAAACTGAGGCACGAGAGGTTAAATCGCTTGCCTAAGGTCACTCGGCTAGTAAGATGATACTCCAACCCTGGCAATCTGTGTCTAGAAGCCATATTCTTAAACCCCACTTCATGAATAAACAGGAAATTTGGCTACAGGAAACTCCCTAAACTACCTGGTTTTTTATCGGGGATGAAATGGAGAGATAACCTATTCCTAAATCCGTCATTGAAGTAGGAAGAACTAAGGCACTAGATCAAAAAAGTAGGATCTGCATACCAAGCTTGAAAAGGTACAATGAAGATCTAACCATAAATCAGCGGTTACAAATGGCTTCCACTTAGGAGTCCTTCTTGGGACCCCCAGGAGCAAGCAGGCCATTTGGGAATTAGGCAGACAACTGGCAGGAGCAAACAGACTTATCCCCCAGAAATCATCTTGAACTGTCACGGGTGAAAGCTCTAGGAGCCTTGACTGATGGGTTTCAGATGCGGAAATTGTCTTTTTTTAACGTGTGTGAAGAGAATCAACAATTTCTTTGAAATCAAGGGAAAACTCTGGTTCTAAATGACAGTCTTAAAGTGTGATATAGGGAGCTAATCATTTGAGAAGTTTAAAACACTTATCATGGTTGGTTTTGTAAAAATCAAATTATATACATAAAATCAAATTATATATAAAATAAATATTATACCCAACATATATAACCAATATATTCCTATATACTTTTTATACATAAATATATGTAGAAATTATATGTACAAAAAATACTGTGCAAGAACTCCTTACAATTACACCCGGAAACATCTGGAAGGAGAGAGGATCCGAAGAAATTAAAATAATGAGATGCTGGAGGGGCTGTGGTATGAGAACTTTTGGTATGAAAGCATAAAAGTTGGGAAGAGATTCAATTAAAGGCTATCAAGGGATTATCCTTAGACTAAACAAGCAAATGTTGCTCAAGTAAGTTCTGGTCTTGTGGAGTCAGGAGGAGCACCATTTGAACTGTAAAAGTGGTAAATCCTTAAGCAAATAAAAGAAATATTTTATATAATTATTTAAAATCCAAGAAGTGGTACTGGCTTCAAATATAAAATTGCTTTTAAAAACCATCATCAAAGACAGATCTGTAATGGGTTATTAACACTTGAAGGCATCTCTCTAAATTTCTTGATTTGTCTTAAATAGCCAAATATCCCTTATTCTGTGAGAATGCAAAGAATGAATTATGTTTCTAAGCTAGGAAGTTGATCCTTTCACATAGAGTCCATTTAAAAAGTGGAATGTTTCCTGTGACACCTTCACTGTACAGGCAACAAGAATGAAGGCTGATGTTTATGTTGGCTAAACCTCAGATTTGGTATGCAGAGAGGGTGGTGATATTATTACCTGAAGTGTTTGGGCCTCAGGAGGTTTCTGAAGTATTTTCCAGAATAGTAACAGAAGTTGAAAAGTTTCTACAGAAAATTACTCAAGACACTGAATATCAACGCAATACATGGTTCTTTTAACTGAAATAAATAGAAGAGTATTATTACACAGATTAAAAATGTGGGCTCTGGAATTGAGCTGCTTGGGTCGTTTTGGACCTACCACATACTAACTTTGTGACCTAAAGCAACTTTAATTGATTTCAGTTCTCCCAGCTGAAAATGAAATAATGTAAGTAAAGCATTTAGTAATGCCTGGCCCTTAGTAAGCAGTTAATACATGTTATATATTTTTAATAAATCCTTTTCTCAGTCCCAAAAGATGGCCTGTAATAACGGCTTTGTTTTGACAACAACTGTACAATCAATAGTCTACTAGATGTTAATGAAAGAGGTGACTTCCCCACTGAGTACAGCAGTGCAGAGCTTGTTTAAGTTCTCGTATCTTAGTGCTCTCCACCTCCGTCCTCACCATAGAGTTGAGATTTCTCAATTCAGAGCCCTGCTCAACCCCTCTCCTTCTCATTAGCTTTATTTCATTCCTCAAATTCCAGCAGCCTCTTCCTATTTTGGGGGGGGGTGTGGGTGGAGCATCTTTCTTCTCTTTGCAGTCCCTTTCCACTGTACTCTCTGCAACCCCCGTTTGGTTGTCAGGTTACTTTTTTATCTACAACTTGTGTATAAACTCACTTCCCTTTTCATGGCTTTAGAAACTTGACTCTTCCCCAACCTCTCCAGGTGCTTTTTGCCTTAAACACACAATGTCTTGTTTACCTTAATCAATTGGAAGAGAAGCCAGTCAGTCTTATTCTCGAATGTTATTTGTAAGCTGCTGCTTCATGATTTATCATTTGAGTTTTACAACAGTTACTTCTACCTGACTGTTATCACTAATGACTGCCACTACTACTACCTTAGACCTGCTTCAATTTCATATTCTTCCTTTCCATCCTTTCTCATGTTATTGTTGATGGATTTCAAAATCCACATAGGTAAGATGCTTCAAAGGTCCCTGATTAACTAGATCCTGTCATTGTCACACCACATCAATCTTTTATCCATAAAGATATACTCTTGACTTCATCGCAAAGCATTCTCTGTGCACTGCACTCCCCAATGTAACATTCCTATTCCATATCTAACACCTGTCATGTCCTCCACTTGCCCCTCAGGACCTTCAGTTTCTCCATGTTGCCAATTTAGGTTCAATCAGTAACCTATTCCACTATATTTATCTGGATAACTATAGTTTGATCTCCTTTGATGCCTACCTGGAAATTCCATGTGTATCACTCCACCTTCTTTTTGGTACTATAACTGTATTTAGGCACAAGAAACAACCAGAATAAAATCCTACATTTATTTTTAAACAAGTTATAATCTCTGTCTTTTTATATAATAGGCATATTCCATTGTTCTGGGTCCTTGTTTATTGTCACTTTATAATATTAGGTACATAAGACAGATTAAGTACTGTGCAGAAAGGCAAATGGAGGAACATGTGTGCATTGACAGAACATGTTAAGCAGAAAATGAACTGGAAAGATACCAAGTAAAGGCACTGAGAAGAGCAGAAAGCGAGTTTAAAATAAGAATGCTCACATTCCAGAAGGCAGTCAGATTAAAGAGAGAGGCTCTGAAGTTACTCTTGAAGAGTAATTTCAGATTAGATAAGGAGTACTGATAGCATGGGTTTGGTAAGGAGGACATTCTCATAAAGGTTCTCATCACTAAGTAAAGTCCACTCCAATGAGAAGAGTTTGCATCAAAGTGAGAAATGTGAGGCAGAGTAAGCTTAGGTAGGGAACAGGCTTCACATACTTATAGTTTACAGAGCTTACAGAGCTGTTCAGCTCACTCTGGGATCCCTGTGTGTTTCCTGGAGGTAAAAAACAAACAAACAAACAAAAAGCTAGGTTTCTAATCCTAGATGCCTCTGCCCTAAGTTTGCAACTCCGATTTGGGAGAATCAAGATGGCAGAACAGATGGTCCCCAGCATTGCTCTCTACCACAATTGACCAATTTACAACTATTAAAAATCAAAGAGTGCCAAACTGGGGCCCCCACAGCTCAGGGGAAGAGGAGGAGAGACTTACAGAATTCATGGAGGCGGGAGAAGCTGTGATAAGAGAAAGAAGGGACCACTCCAACCATTTCAAGCCCTGGCCAACTCAAGGCTGGAGCTGGTGAGCACACAGAGCAAGAACTGGCAAAAACTGCAGCTGTGCCCTTTGTGTGAAGTTGCTTGGAGACTGCAGGGGAGAGAGGGGCCTTGGTGGCCCCCAGGCCAGCAAAACCACTGACAGGGTTCCTGTGGACCCACATACAAGCTGAAAAAAGGAGCCACTCAGAGGCCAGTCATTGCAAGGCACCAGAGCATGGCCCACCCCATGCGAAGTGTTTGAAGTGTGGGGGGTGGGGGAGATTGGCCCACCAGGGGAATATTGGGGAACAGATGGACAGTTGATATGCCCTCCAATTAGCACAGGCCCACTCAGTGGAGATTGATCGGGAATACAGAACTGCAGGGAGTGCAATGTGCTGAAAAGACTCAGGCCCAGACCAGAGTTTCCACACAACCCAGGTGTATCAGATCTCACAAGACCCACAAGTGCTTAAAAGGTCAACCATTAAAACCTGAGCTGCGCAAAAAGCCTTCCCCAGAGAATCAGCAGCAAAGCAGCAATTTAGCTCAACATCAGGGCTCAAATGCTGGTTCCCACAGGAAGTTCCCCCATTTTAGAAGTAAGTAAAGGACAAAGCCTTCCCCAGAGAATCATCAGCAAAGCAACAATTTAGCTCAACCACAGTGCTCAAGTGCTGATCCCCACAGGAAGTTCTCCCATTTTAGAAGTAAGCAAAGGACAACAAATTTAGTTTCAGTGCAGAGGGGGGGGGGGGGGTAGCTAATAATCCAACACAGAACTCAAAGCAAATACCAAAAAACCACAGATCAGAGACAAAGTTCTTCTATTAATCAGTAAAAGGTCTAACAGACCACCAAAGAACACCTACAAAACGTAGAAGAGCCAGAAGCCCTCTGGGCTCTCAAGCTGGGATTAGGGAGTTCCAAGGGCCTCAACCACACCTCCCTGACATCCTCATCCAGCCCAGTGATGACCAAGCCACTGCAGAAGCCCCCCGAGCCCCCAAGCTGGGGTAAGGGGGGCTGCAGGCCTTAGCCAAGCCCCCCTGACGTCCACATCCAGTCCAGTTATGACCATGCTGCCACCGGAAGCCCCTTGGGACCCCCAACCAGATGGAGTGGGGCTGAAGGCCTCAGCCACGTCCCCCCAACATCCACATCCAGCCCAGTGATGATCATGCTGCTGCCAGAACCCCCCCCCCCACAGGACTCCTGAGCCGGACTGGGGGGCCCACTGCTGTCAACCATGCCCCCCCCACCCTCTGCAACCAGGTCAGCAAAGGAGCCAGCCATGGGCCAGCCCCACTCCCCCACCTCCACCTCCATTTCCCTACTACCCTCCCCCTCCCACTGCTCTGCAACATCTTGGAATTAAAAAAAAAAAAAAAAATTTGCAACTTCAATGTTGGTGTTATGGAAAAGCCTAAATAAGCAGTCCTCAACTTATGAATGAGTTGTTTTTCAATTGTTCGTTTGCTTTTCTGTTGTTAACTCAAGAATGGTATTCCATACACGGTCATGTAAATTCCAACCCCAAAAGCGAATTTGACACATATGCCTAAATTATAGTACTAATACCATTACCATTTCTATGGAAAAAATGTTTTCATACTTACAACTTAGAAAGCTAGGAACACACCATTGGGTCTCACGGCTGGCCTAGCTTCAGCGCAGCCGTTGAGCAGTTTTTCCACTTTCCCCCTGCCCCTTTTCCCTTTCTTCTCTGGGAACTGAGATTCCTCTCCTGGGAAGGGGTAAACATTACTGTTATCATCAAAGGAATGTCTTGTGAGTTGTGTCTGGCAGGCTTCGAGCTGGAATGCTTTGTACTGAGACAGTGGCTTATTGGGAAACTATGCTTTAACCGACCATATGTTATCAGACCACAAGGACTGTGTCACCTTGCATACCACTGATTTCAAAATTGCCCATTACTCTGAACCCTCCCTGAAAGTCTTATAAACCTCCTGCTTTCCTTAATTTGGGGGAACTGAGCTGGCTCAGTCTCCCCTCCATGTTAGTGGAATAAAGCTTTTGGCTAAAACAGCACCTGGCTTGGGTCTCTCTTTTCCTTTTCTCTGTCGTGCCAAATCTAACACATGTGTTCCTATGGGACTAGGGACTCTTCCAATTCCAACCTAGTGATGATAGTTTGTATAGGGATAGTTTGTATAGGGGAGCAAGAGACAGGGGAACTTGGGAAATGGGGGCAGAGTATATTACAGGAGTGGGATGAAGATGGGACAAAGTCATCTAATTACCAGGGCTGGGTAGAAAGGTAATTAAGAATGGGACTTACTAAAGAATAATGGGGATTACTCTTTTCATTCTCCCCTTTGCCTTTTATCACTGTCTCACTATTTCAAACACATTGACCAGCTAGAAGTGAGGAAAGAAGAGACTGGAGTTGTGTTGGATAAGAAGGTAGTCCCAGAATTGAGTTTGCTGTGGCAAGGTAGAAAGGGAAAAAAAATAATAGGACATCTCAGAATGATTTCTTTAAACAAGAAGACGAACAGGCCAGGACCCATGTGTACTTCTATGTGGCTTGCCTGCTGTCCACTAATCATAGGTTGTCATCTGAAGCAGAATTTTTTACTCAGCAATACAAGGGTAGAGTCAACCAGTTGTTGGTTGATTTGTTCTTCGAAAACCCAAGGGATGCTATCACTAATCTTGGGGCCTTTTATGTGCTCAAGAAGGTATGCAAACCAAAAAACTGTAAACCAGTTGAGAGCAATTACTAGGGAATTCAGAACACAACAGGTTAAGAGTAAAACAGAGAAGAGCACCAGCACACCTCTCTTACACACACACACACACACACACACACACACACACACACCTTGCACTCAGAAGACCTTTGGGAGCCTTGAAATGTAGGTCTCCTGTTTTGAAATACTTAAATTTGAAAGGATGGAAAGGCCACCTTAAGACCCTAGTTTTTAGGCATTATGGTGGTCTAATTGCCTGCTCACTCTAAAGAGCTGGTGGCACGGGTCCCCTGTAGGGATTTCTTTGTGCTAAATATCTGCAGTGGCTCCTTGTTTAAAGAACTGCGTTCAGGCTTCCTCACTTCACAGGCAACCATGAAGGCAGCTATGACTCAATGCAACATCTCCCAAATTTTAGAGTATATCAGGTGACTATGGAGCTATAAAAATGAAGATTCTCAACTCCCATCCTAGGCATAAGGAAGCTGAATATCTGATTCAGGCATTTTAAACAAGCTCCACAGGTAATTCTGCTGTTTATCCAAGCTGGGGAATCACTAGTGCAATGAAAGGACTAGAAGTCAGAGACCTACACTTAAGTTACTAGTCTTTTCCTTTGTGTGGTATTATAGCTATGTCACCATCTCCATAAACAAGAGTATCTTCATTTTTTAAAATGGAGAATAATTTTGATTTACAGAAGTATTTTAGGAATTAAATGAGAAAAGTGCTCTGTGTCACAGTGCTATAAAATATTAGATGAAATTATTAGCATTCTAGACCTCCTCCTACAGTCTGTCCCCAAGTGGTTTCCAAACTTAACATCATTAGTTGCCCAGTTCCAATGACCTCTCTATTTGAGGTTGGCTAGTCTCGTCAGTGATGCTTCCAAACCATATGCACTCTTACCTCTGCTTACCTTTGTTTTACCTAACTGCTTTCTCCCTTTAGCCTTCCAAATCTGCCTATCAAACCTTTATTTTCAATAAAATCTTTCCTGACCACCCTAGGCGAAAGTAATCTGTCCTTCAGAATTTATGGCTCTTATTGTCTACCAAGTGCCACTTTAATTCTGCACTACGTTGAGAATCAATTCTATTGCCCTGTAGTCTTATTTAACTAAATATATGGATCGTACAGATCCCAAACTAGGTTGTAAACTCTGGGAAAAGGAATCTGGTGTTATGCTTCTTGCTCTCCACAGTACCTCCTAATACAACTGGCAGCACATAGTGAGTTCTTATTAAATATCTGAGGCTTTCTTTTAGCAATAGTGAATGAAGTTATGCCCTAAATCATGACAAAGATAGTCTTTCTCACAAGCCTGCACTCTGTGAGATAGCTTCCCTGTCGTCATCAAACAGAAACAGATTTTTCTCCTTTGTGGATAGTCTGATGTTGAGTAAGAGCAGAGTTCTGCCTGAATGATTCCCCACACTCCTTACATTTATAGAGACTACTTCTATTATGGATTCTCTGGTGTTTACTAAGATCTGACCTCTGTCTGAAGGCTTTGCCACATTCACCACATTGGTAGGGTTTCTCCCCAGTGTGGATTCTCTGATGCTGAATGAGGCTGGTGATTCCTCGGAAGGCATTTCCACATTCATCACATTTGTACGGCCTCTCTCCAGTGTGGATTCTTTGATGTTCTGTGAGGACCGATCTTTGAGTAAAAGCCTTCCCACAATTATCACATTTATAGGGTCTCTCTCCAGTGTGAATTCGCTGATGTTCTATAAGACTTGTCCTTTGAATAAAGGCTTTTTCACATACATCACACTTGTAGGGTTTCTCCCCAGTGTGGATTCTCTGATGCTGAATGAGGCCACTCTGACTGAAGGATTTCCCACACTCCTTACACTGATAGCATTTTTCTTTGTGGTGGATCTCCTGATGGGAAACAAGGGATGAGTTATAAACAAAGGCTTTTCCACACTCACTGCACTCATAGGGCTTTGCACCAGTGTGAACACCTTGATGCTGAGTAAGTATGGAACGCCGACTGAAACTTTTATTACACTGACTACACTGATAAGGTTTGTCTCTTGTGTGGATCTTGAGATGGTGAAAGAGTCCTGCTTTCTGGCTAAAGGCTTTGCCACATTCATTACAGTGGTAGTGTTTTTCCCCGGTGTGAAGTCTCTGGTGTTGATTAAGAGCTGACCACCGGCCAAAGGCTTTGCCACATTCATTACATTTATATGGTTTCTCTCCAGTGTGTATTATTTTGTGTCGAATAAGCACAGTTCTCCCACGGAAAGTTTTCCCACATTCTTCACATTTGTATGGCCTGTCTCCAGTATGAATCCTCTGATGTTCTATGAGGCGCGAGTGCTGACTAAAGGCTTTTCCACAGTCATCACATTTGTAAGATTTTTCTCCTGGACAGATTCTCTGGTGTTCAGAGCGGTCTGAGTTCTCAGTCAAACTTACTCTGTTTTCATCACATGTAGCTTGTTTATCTTCCCTGGAGTATCCAGAAGGCTCTTCTATTTTTTCTTTGGGCTCGTGAGTTTCTCCACACCTAGCAGACTGAAGCATATTATTTTCAAATCTGCTAGATATATTCCCACATGGCTCCATTTCTTCAGAAACTTCTTGCTTTAGAATTAAATTCCTGTACTCATTTCCAGTCTCAAAATCTGAAATTACAAAGGAATCATAAATGTTACCTAATTTCCAGTGATAGCAAATAGTAACTTCATGAGGCAACATAAAATTATTCAAATGAAAAACATAAGAACCTAAAGTTTCTGCATGACTATAAAACGGCATTAGAATACAGGACAAACCTAATTAATAAAGCACTCTAAAAATTGTTGAGGATGAGATCAACAGCCCAACAGAAAACTGTGCAAAGGAAAAACTGATGGTTTCCACGAAAGGAAATACAACAGCTTTTTTTTTTTTTTTTTGGTAGCTGACCAGTATGGGGATCGAAACCCTTGACCTTGGTACAATATCTCTTAAGCACAGGAAAAGATGCTTCACCTCACAGAATAAGGGAAAAGCAAATTTAAACAACATTGAAATGTAATTTTTTACCTATCAAAGTTGCCTAATCAGTTTGATATATAACTATGTTCACAAAATGGATTATCACCCATTGCTGGAGGGAGTGTGAATTGATCCAAGCCTTTATAGAGAGCAATTTCAGAATATCTATCAAAAGTACAACAGTATAAAACCTTTGACCTAATAGTTTCACATGTAGGAATTTATGCTACAGATTATACTCACACACATGGTTATTCATTGCAGCACTACTTGTTGTAGTAAAACACTGAAGACAAATGTCATCAGTAGGGGATTGGCTAAGTTACTTGTGTAGTATATCCATACATTTTAATATTAAGCAGCTTTAACAAATAAAAAATGCACCATCTTAAGGACAGAGAAAAAAAATATTTGTTTCAATATGAGAAATGTACATGCATCAAAAAAAAAAATTTCTGGAAGAACATACAAGAAACTAATAACAGTGACATATCTATTTCAGAGAAAGAGGAGACTAGATAGCTGGGGGAATTGAGTAGAATGAAAACTTTACTGGATAACTTGTAAAATTTTTGTTTTTGAACCATGCAAATATTTACCTGTTATAAAAAAAATTAAATAAAAAAGAAAACACATAGAGAAAGTAGAGATGAGGAAGGTAGAGTCTTTCACCTATTCACCAACTTTTAACATTTTGCCACATTTGCTTTATTATTCCTTCTTTTTATAAGTGTACACATTTCTTTTTTTCTTGAACCATCTGAGAGTTAGTTGCAGACATCATAGGGCAAAGGCTTATTTACTGAAGGAGAAAGACTATAGTCCAAGTGGAAGATAGTGGTATTGTCTGTTAGGACAAAGGCAAGAAGTAGCAGGAAGGTCAGTATAAAGAAATATAACTATCAGAAGGACTAAATTAAATGATCTCAAATAAAATAAAGACAGAATTTAGAAAAATATGAATATAAAAAGAAGAATTAAAAAGTGACAAACCGGTCTGTTTGAGCCATCAGATTCCTAGAGAGTCCTTTCTGACTTTAATGATCAGGAACAGTACTAAGTACAAAAAAGACCCAATGTCCTGCGTTAGCCCTGTCTTCCCCTTCCTCCCCAAATGGGTCTTTCTTTTTTACCTTGCTCTTGTTGGGCTTCAAGTTCTGGAGATTCACACTTTAGCTGGGCTTTCATAGACTGGAGGGAAATACTGGATTCTTGTTCTGTTCTTAGAGGTACCATTTCCTGCAAGAACATTTCCTGTTCCTCAGTATGGACTGAGACCTGAGGAAAAGGAGACATAGCCGACAGACTCATTCTGATAACAGAAAACAGAAGAGTATACTATGCATCGCAGTGGCACCCAGCTTGCTGAAACTTGAAATGACCTTCTTCCCTAGTATCAGCCTGCCATAACCCTACCCATTCTTCAAAGTAATGTTAATGTTGGCTCCTCTTGAGAACCTTCCCTTCCCTGGCCACAAGTAATTTCCCCTATTGTTAACAGCCAAAATATCTTGGTTGTGCCACTTTTACTTTGTCTTATGCTCAAAGAAGTGGAAAAGAAAAGTAGAAAAACAAAGGAGAGAAGGAAAAGACAGTAAATAGAGGCATAAAGGAGGAAAAAAGAACTTAGGGGAAAATAAAACATAAGAGGAAAAAGAAATGGGATAAGTAAAAGGAAATAATGCAGAGAAATGATGAAGAAAGTCAAAAGGAACAAAGAAAAAAGAGGAAGAAAAGAAAGAGGTGGGAGAAGGAAGGAGAAAGGAAGGAAAAAGAAAGGAAAGGAGAGAAATCTCTTCCATATTCATTCCAGAAGCTGCTCCCAATAGTCTCTCTCCTTCTAATGTTCCCATTCCACTTCTTTCTGGAAAGATAATCTTATTTTCTATTTATCCAAGATCATAGTCATCTCAAAAATCATCTCCCTTTCACTTTATCTATTTCCACCTGAGGCTCATATTCTTCTCCTTCCCCTCTGTCTTAGAAGATGTGTTCTCTTTTTCAAGGTTCACATCCCTACTTTTGCCTTCAATCCTATCTCTTCTGCTTCCCTCTGACACTCGTTACCTCTATTAACTCATTTATTCAGCAGTTTCAGCCTCTCTGTGGCTCCCATTCCTGCATGGGCCCTCTTCCTCTTGCATTCAAAAATAAGAGGTTTCCTCAGCATGGTACTGTAAAAAGTCGGGATTTAGAATCACACTAATTACTTAGTCTGTCTCTTAGTATAGTGTTTCTGTGATCTTGGGATAGTTACTTGCTCTCTCTGAGATTATACCACATCATGTATGCTAAGCACCCAGCACAGGTCCTTGGCATACAACAGGCCCTCAAATGACTCACCAATTCCCTTCAATGGCTACATTTTGTAAATAAGAAATCACCCTATGCTGTCTCTATTTCCATGACAGTTTCATTTTGTAATCTGTCTCCAGAATAAGAGCCAGAATCAGCAGAATATCCCAGATGTACAGAAAAAGATGTTTTGATAACACATAGAGAAAGTAGAGATGAGGAAGGTAGAGTCTTTCACCTATTCACCAACTTTTAACATTTTGCCACATTTGCTTTATTATTCCTTCTTTTTATAAGTGTACACATTTCTTTTTTTCTTGAACCATCTGAGAGTTAGTTGCAGACATCATAGGGCAAAGGCTTATTTACTGAAGGAGAAAGACTATAGTCCAAGTGGAAGATAGTGGTATTGTCTGTTAGGACAAAGGCAAGAAGTAGCAGGAAGGTCAGAAAAAAAAAAAAAAAAAAAAAAAAAAAAGGACAGTACAGTGAGCTGTGCCTTCTATATCTGGATCTCTGGCTAGGCCTCAGAAATCAAGCTATGAACTCCATTAGCTGCCCCACCATGCTTTCAGAGAAAGGATTGGTTGGCAATACAAACAACATGTTTTAAACGAAATTACTTTTTGCCTGTACCTGAAAATACCATTCTTTCTTCTGGTTCTCTTCCTACTTCCCTGGCTGCTCTTCAGTTTCCACTGCTGGTTACTCCCATGATGATCTCATCCTGTCTCATGGCTTTAAATACCATTTGTATCCTGAAAGGTCCCAATTTTATATTTCTAGCACAGACCCCTCCACTGAATTCCAAACAGTTATATCCAGTTTCTTGTTCAATTTTTCCACTTAGATTCTAATAGGAATCTCAAAATCAACACATCTAAAACCTAATTCTCGATTCCTATTCCTTCATCCCAAACCTATTTCTATCTTAGTCTTCACCATCTCTGTGAATGATAAATCCATTCTACCTGATGTTCAGACCAAAAACTTTGGCATAATCCTTAACTTACTTTCTTTCACATCCCACATCCTAAATAAAAATAAATCCTGTCAAGCTTTTCCTTCAAAATACATCCAGAATCTAATCATATCTTACCACTTCCACCACTACTATACTAGTCCAAGTCACCGATATCTCTTGCCTGGATTACTGCTTGTAGCCACAGCCTCCTAAAATGGTTTCCTTGCTTCTACCTTTGACCCCTATGCTTCCTCCACCTCCACCTGTAGCCCCATTTTTAGAACTTTCTCAACATAGCAGCACATTATTTCTACTCAAAATTCTTCAACGACTTGCCATCTCAGAATAAGATCCAAAATCCTTATAATGGCCTACAAGTCCCTATATGATATGACCTTATCACTATTTTATTTCATCTCGTCCTTGACAAGCACATCTCTACCATGGCAAGCACATTCTCACCTTAAGACCTGCCCTTTTTTTTTTTTTTTTTTTTCCCTTTTTGTCTTTTTTCGTGTCCGGCAATGGATTGCAACCCTCAGTGTCGCACCCGCACTGGACCGGGACCGGCAACGGGATGGCAACCCTCGGTGTCACGCCCACACCTCGCTCAGCCAGTGAGTGGGAACCGGTCTGTATGTGGGATCCAAACCCTCGGCGGGAGCGCCGCCGCGCTCCCAAGCCACGCACTGTAGCAGTGCGCCACCGGGCCGGCCCAAGACCTGCCCTTTTAATGTTCCCTCTGCTGTTATCCCCAGTGCTCTTATCCTTCATAGCTGTACGGTTTACTATTTTAATACAGATTTCTATTGTAAATGTCATCCTATCTGAAAAGACTTCCGTAACCAATCTATCAAAAATAGAACAATGTCCATTTTCTTCATTATTCCTTTTCTTAGCTTTATTGTTATTGTTTTTAATAGGACTTATCACTACCTGACATCTTATGCTTGTTGATTTTTTGTTTACTGTCTGTCTTCTCTCAGTAGACTGGAATCTACATAAGAGCAGCAACCTTCTATGCTTTTTTCACTGTTGCATTCCCAGTGCCTAAAACGGTACTTGGTACAAAACAGATATTCAGTAAATATCTGCTGAATGATCCCCTAGTCTTTAACAGTGTTAGGAGTATCTCCATTACACGAGTCTTTCAAGCTTCAAATCCCTAGTGTTTAGCCTAGAATATATTGCTCAATAAAGAGTTCTCCATTGGTTCTTCTTTCTTTATAGAGCTAATCTGTCATCATTTCCAGTTAATTCTTACCTAAGACATGCCTCATCCTTTGAAGTTACACTTTGATGACCCTATTTCAAACTTAGATCTTTCTGCCACATGCTCTTTATCTCTCCACTCTACTTTGTACTCCAACAAAGTAAATTATGCTTCCTGTTTTATTATTTCACTAAGTTTCATATTCATTATACCAAGGTTTCCTAGCCTTGGCTCTATTAACATGTTGGGTCAGATAATTCTTTGTTGTCTGAAGCAGTCCTGTGCATTGTAAGATGTTTAAAATTATCCCTGCCCTCTACCTACTAGATGCCAGTAGCACCTCCCCAGTTATGACAACCAAAAATGTCCCAACACATTGTCAAATGCCCTCCGGGGCACAAGATTGCCACTAGTTGAGAACTACTGTCTTATATCACTGTTAAAACAAAACAAAATAGAAAGGTTCTACATACTTTGGTTCTCTTTTATGTCTAAGGGTTAGTAAAGATCATTTAGACTCAAGAAGAAAAGGTTAGGAGCCTCTGTCCTATAAAATAAAATCTAAACTCTGAAGGTTGATACTCAACGTCCTGAACTCTCTATCTCAACACTTCTCACAACTCATCTTTCCAACCTAACTGGGTTTTTTACTACTCAAAGAAACACGGACCCCCTGCTCTACTCCTCTTCATCTCATTCCTCTGAGTGGTGAACCTTGATTTCTCCATCTTTTAACCTTTTAATGGAGAGAAAGGGCAGTAGATATATCTGCAAAACTTTATTTCTTAATTATTCGTATTGTGCAACGGAAGTGATGCCCCTTTCAAGAGGCTGCTTCCCACCCTGCTCTCATTGTCTAACACCTTCTCTCTGTACTAGAAGTATCCGATTGTTTATAAGCTGAGTAGCATATTTACCAAACAGAATTTTGTAGATTAGTACAAAAATACACAATCCCTCCAAGAAAACATATAAAGAAGTTAACCAATTTGCCATGAAACTCAGGTCTCTGTCTGATGCGCCAAAGTATCGAGAACACGCTTTGTGAAATAATGCTATACTTCACTCTAGCCTAGAAACCCACAATTTATCTTTTCTCAAATAGAAAACAACTTTTTTTCTCACCTGATAACCTGGCTCATCCAGCTCTCTCTCTAAATCCTCCAGCACAGTCACCACCTCCTCCCCACTCTCCGGATGCTGCTCCTGCACCCAGGCTTGGAGCTCCTCTGGCAGGATGGTCAGGAACTGCTCCAGCACCAGCAGCTCCAGGATCTGTTCTTTGGTGTGAGTCTCTGGCGTCAGCCACTGATGGCAAAGTTCTCGAAGTCGGCTCAAAGCCTCGCGGGGTCCAGATGTTTCCTGGTAGCAGAACTGCCTGAAGTATTGTCGGAATACTTCTCTGCTATGGGTGGTATGCTTTTGCAGGTTCTGATCCTGTCTGGTGGTATACTTATACTTCTCCTCCTCCTCTATCTTTACTTCCAAAAGTTCATCCTGATCCTTATGGGCCTGGATATTCCAAGTAGATACCATCATAGCTGTGCAAAAGTTCTATCAGTGCTTCAAGTAAGATCTCCCCTGAGCGAACCTAAGGAATAAGCCATCATTATTAATACAAACTACACCATAAACAAAAATTGGAAATTCTAAGAATTTAAGTATGACCTTTGAAAGCCTGCCTCCAGGTTAATTTACTATACTCAAGGAAATATTTTCATAGAAAAGATTTAAGAATAGACTAATTTAAAGAGAAAGACTAAAAAAAGGTGCCAAGTTGTTCTGGGACTTTAAGAAGGAAGAATAAGACTTGGTAGAAAATTCATTTCCATTTAGTCCTAATATAAAGGACAATTAATTGGAATGAAACTAACATTTATAACAAGTAAATAACAATAATAGTAATAAAAATTTGGGATGACTTTGATTAATTGCTTTTTAAATTTTTTTAAATGTCCAGGTGTCCGGTGGAAACCGTGAAATCATAAAAGCAGCAAAGTCACATGAATCTATTTCCTCAGGGCCTTAATTTTTCTGCCTCTCATTCTGCATCTATTAAATGAAAAGGCTAAAGAAGTTATTATTTGAGGCTTTCTTCTATCCTCGCATTCTGTGACTCTAAATCTAAAGGCAGGCAGGCCTAGGAAAAGGTCCCTAGGCTGCCGGCCAGCGTCTGTGACCCAGGAGTGTCCAGAAATATCGTGCGGCGTCAAACCCGAGAAGGCTACACGGCTGGGGGCCCAAGACAAACCCAGGAGGTACGGGGCTCACAGCCCGGACTCACCGCAGAGGTCCGGGCCCCTCACCCCGGGCTTCTAGTCACTGTCCGAGGGGCGCGGGTACAGCCTATGGGGAGGAGGAGCCTTCTGCCGTCCCGCCCGGGCAGGGAAGGACCCGGACCCGCCCCCCACCAGCCCGGGCCGGGATTGAGGGACCCAGGCGGCGGGAATGTCGCCACTCCTCGCCCGCCCACCTGCTCGCCGCGGCCGGAGTACAGCCTCGTTCACCCGCGGCCCCAGGAGGCCAGAAGAGGGCGGCCTCCTCCGGGGCGAAGGGCTGGGGCCTCGGACCCCGTAGGGACCCGGAACCCACCATCAAGAGCGACCCACAAAGGCCGGAAGCGGCGGCGGCGTGGCACCGAGGTCCGGCTCGCTCGGGCCGCGCGGAGCGCACTTCCGCCGCGGCTCTAGGAAGGGGGCGGGAGGGGTTTTCCACTCGGTTGTTTTCCCGCGCACCCACGCGAGAGGAGGGCTGAGGACTCCCACGCCCGAGCGTAAACAGAATAGGTTTATCGTTCTTTCCCCCCGGCCATTGTCTTCACTTCCCCGACCCGATGGGTATCGAGGCTTGCAGAGCCGATCTGAAGAGACGGGGATCTCACGCTTCTCCGCTCTCACGTTTATGCCGGTTTCTGCATCTCTGAGGTTCCGGGTGCCCCAAAGGGATGTTATCCCGAGGTTCTTACAGACACAACGCTTCACAGTGGTGAAGGGACCTCGTCTATACAGACTTCTTAAGGGCCAACCTTCTTGTTTCTGCAGCCTTTTTCACCATCAACGATTCCCTTGATGTTCTCTTTTATGTGCTGATGATACATACGATTATGCATCTGAAAACCCACGGACTTCAATGGGAAAACTATATTAAAAAGATAATTTAGTAAATTAGCAGGATATTAAAATTAACACTCTGAAATCAAATAGCCTTCGTATATACGAATAAACAGTGATAACCAATTACAGGAAATAATGGAAAACCATATTTTCAATAGAAACAAAAAAGAGAAAACAGGAATAAACTTAACAAGAAATATGCAAAACCCATGATATGGGGAAAACTTTAGAACACTCCTGAAAGGCCAAGTGTATTTAAACAAATAGAAAGCAATATGCTGTTCTTGGACAGGAAGTGAAACAAAAAAGAGAAAACAGGAATAAACTTAACAAGAAATATGCAAAACCCATGATATGGGAAAAACTTTAGAACACTCCTGAAAGGCCAAGTGTATTTAAACAAATAGAAAGCAATATGCTGTTCTTGGATAGGAAGACTCGACAAAGAGGTCAATCCATCCTAAATATGTATGCAACTATATTATCCCAATTAAAACGCCAACAAATATTGGTCTAGAATTAGATAAATTGACTATAAAGTTCAAATGGGAAGCTAAGAATAGCCAGGAAACCTCTGAAAAAGAACAATGTGTTTTTTTTGAGGGACAGCCTTAAAGATACTAGAACATACGATATTGGTGCCTGAACAGACAGAAAAAACAGACCAGAAATAGACCCAGGTATGTATGATTATTTAGTAAATGATGAAGGAGGCATCGAATATCAACAGGGAAATGGAGGACTTATAAAGAAGTTATATTGGGACAACTGATAGCCACTTGGTCAAAGTAGAATTGGATTCACATCACCTGCCACACATCACAATTGGGATTAATTCCAAATGGATCTCAGATCTCAATGTAAAAAAATGCACCTATACATGTATTGGAAGAAAACATAGTAATAAGTCCAACACCTGGAAATGGGGAAACATTATCTAACCATGACTCAAAATCCAAAAGCAATAAAAAATGATAAATCTGCCTACATAAAGATAAAATATATTGATTGTCAAAAAACACCATAAAAAAGTCAAAAGACACATGACATTGGAAAAATGTTCACAACATATCACAAGCAAGGGGTAGTATACCAAATATATGAAGAGCTCTTAAAAGTTGGGAATAAAAAATGGGCAAAAGAAACAAATGGTTGACAGAATAGGAAATGTTAGCAGCCCTCGAATATCTATAAAGATGCTGAACTTCACTCAAAATGTAAACATACAAATTAAAAACTACACTGAAGTTCCATTAGTCATCATATCGGGTTGGCAATGATCCAGAAGTTTGACAGCATACGCTATTCATGAGGAAAGAGAAACTCATACATTCCTGAGGGGAATGAAAATGGTTCAACCCCTATGTAGGAAAAGGAATAATATATAAGAAGATTACATATGCAAATTTACCCTTCGTTTCTGCAATACCACGTCTACAAATCCATCTTAAAGATACATTAACAAAAATATGAAATGACATATGCACAGGTTATTCATTGAGGCATTCAGGCTAAAGATTGGAAACAAACCCAGTGTCCATCACTAGGAGACTGACTGAATAAACTATGGCCTATCTACCCAGTAGAATACTAAGCAGCTATAACAGTAAAAAAGAAATATCTCAATGTACTGCTATGGAGTGATTGACAGATATTTACAGTATATTACCTCTGATAGACAGAATAACCTCCCCCAAATGTCCACATCCTAATCCCCAGAACCTGTGAATATATTGTTACAAGGCAAGAGGGAATTAGGAGTTGCAGATGGAATTAAGGTTACTAATCAACTGACTTTAAGATAAGTTTCCTTAGTTCGGGTCTTACTTTTTTTTTCTTCCAATAAAGCTTGATTTATGGACACTTAAATTTGAATTCAAGGCAATTTCTCATGTCACAAAATATGATGCTTTTGATTTTTTAAATTATTTTATTTTGAAATGATTATAGATTCATAGGCAGTTATAAGAAATAATGCAGGAAGGTCCCATTTACTCATTACCAAGTTTCCACAATTAGTAACATCTTGCAGAACTTTAATATGATACCATAACCAGAATATTTACATTGATACAGTCAAGATACAGCACATTTCCATCACTACAAGGAAGACCATGATATGATTTATTTCAACGCTAGCATCTTATTAATACATCCACCTCCCTCTTACCCTCATCTTCTCATTAACTCCTGGCAACCACTACTCTGTTCTCTACTTCTGTAATTTTGCTGTTTCAAAAATCTTATATAAATGGAATTATACAGGTTGGCTTTTTCCACTTAGCATAATTCTCTGAAGAATCATTCAGATTGTTGCATCTATCAATGGTTCATTGCTTTTTATTGCTTAGTTGCATTCCACCGTATGAAAATACCACTGCTTTTTTAACCACTCGCCTATTGAAGGATGTCTGGGTTGTTTCCAGTTTTGATTTATTACAAATAAAACTACTATAAACATACCATTGATTTGTTGCCTAGATGATCTGTCCAGTGCTGAGAGAGGTGTGCTCAGGTCCCCCACTATTAGCATATCATAGATGCTTCTTCTATCACTCTGGAATGGGCTTTGTGGAGAGAGACATCCTCTTGTTTTCTTTGGTCTCCACTGGTGACTCTCCTTGTGTCAATGCACTGCAGTGGCTGGAGGGCCATCTGTATGATGGTTGTGGTGTCTAGCCACTTTTGTGGCAGCCAAGTGATTTAAGACTTTTCCTCTTTTCTAATACATATGCTTAATGCTATAAATTTTCCTCTCAGCATTGCTTTAGTTGTGTTCAAAAATTTTGGTATGCTACATTTTCATTTTCTTTCATTCTAATGTATTTTTAAATTAATGAACTTTGTTTTTATAGCAGTTTTATGTTCACAGCAAAATTGAGCAAAATGTGCAATGATTTCCTGTATATCCCCTGCTCATACATACACTGCCTCCCCTCTATCAATATCCCACCAGAGTGGTACATTTGTTACAGTCCATGAACCTACATTGACACATTATTTTCAACTAAAGTCCGTAGTTTACATTAGTATTCAATTTTCCTGTGTACATTCTGTGGGCTTGGACAAATGTGTAATGACAAGTCTCCACCATTGTAGTATCATACAGAACAGTTTCACTGTCCTAAAAGTCCTCTAGTCCTCTGTGCTTTGCCTGTTTATCCCTCTCTCCTTCTGAACTCCTTGCAACCACTGACCTTTTTACTGTCTCCATAGTTTTTCCTTTTACAGAATGTCATATAGTTGGAATCATACAGTAGGTAGCCTTGCCGGGTTGGCTTCTTTTACTTAGTAATATACAGTTAAGTTTTTTTCATAGGGGGAGAGGGAAAAGGGGAAGGAAATAGGGTGGGAGAAGGAAGAAGGAGGGGGGTGTGGTTGAGGCCCATGGCACCCCCTTCATTCCTGCAGGGGAGACCAGGG